TTGAACATTTCTTCATGTGTTTGTTGGCCATCTGAATGTCTTCCTTGGTGAAGTGTCTGTTCATATCCTGTGCCCATTTTTCAATTGGATTATTCTCCTTTATCTTGTTGTGGTGCTCGAGTATTTTATAAATTCTAGATATAAGTCCCTTGTCTGACATGTCATTACCAAAAACTACCACACCCTTTTTAGCTTACATCTTGGTGCTGAAAGCCCAGGAGGAGTGTGTGCCTCTCAGAGGCTCCTCCAAGGAGAACCAGGCTCTGAACCAGGCCCTCTCCAGACCTTGCTGTTCCTCCTAGCAGTACTGCTCTCCAGGAACTCTGCCTATGGTGTGCCCCAGGGCTTCCTGTGCCTTGCTGAACCAGGTTCAGCTCCTGAGCTCTGTAGGTCTGAGGGAATGCCCCAGGCCTCTAGCAGCTGACCTCCTCCTTGCTCTGTATGGACTAAGTGTTGGGACGCCAGACTTTCTCCACACTTTGCTCCAGGACAAGGTGAAAATGGGTTTGAAATCGTCCAAATTTGACCCCAAGACACTGCTTGGGTGCTTATTTTCTCATTGGCCTAAGGTTTGGAACCAGTTAAACATATGGAAGAAGCCTCTCATTTTCTTCTGCACTGTTTTCTGGCCCTAACATCAATTGGATGATGGACTTCATTAGCCCTCGGGTGGAACCTTAGACTATACTTTGCTCACAGCACTAGACAATTTTTGCCACCATCTTGGTAAGGACTTGGAGATACCTTATGTTCAAGCTTTCTGGTTTCTTCGCTTTCACCCGGAACTGTGTTTGAACTGTTCCACTGCTCAAGTTCTTCTAGCTAGAAAAAGCCCTCCTCCTTCTCTTCCTTCTACTGCCCTTAGCTCTCTTTTCCTCCTCTTCCTCTTTTGACCTTCCCGAAGATCTAAGCTCCCCACCTTGAGCTGCTCCTGTTCCTCCCACTCTCCCTCCTCCTCCTCCACTGCCTCCCTACCCCCAACCAGAAGTTACTTCCTCAGCAGTATTACCTCCTCCATCTCTTGTTAGCTCCTATACACGCTCTTTCCCCCCTAGCTTCAACACTCCTGTTACCAGCCTTCCTTCACCTGCTGTGGCCCCCAACATCCTTTGCCCTTTCCAGGAAGTGGCTGGGGTGGAAGGAGTGGTTAGAGTTCATGTTACTTTTCTCTTACTTGATCTCTCTGCTACTGAAAATCACCTGAGATCCTCTTCTGCAGACCCCACTCAATATCACAAAGAGTCTCGCTATCTGACTCAAGCTTATGATTTAACCTGGCATGACCTTCATGTCATTCTCACTTCTACTCTCACTCCTGATGAAAAGGACTGCATTCTAGCAGCCACTCACACACAGAGAGATCAGGTACATCTCACTGTTCAAACAATGCCAGTAGGTATCGCTGCCGTCCTGGATATTGAGCCTAACTGGAAGTATCAGCAAGGCCAGGATGGCACGTGATGGCAAGACCACATGACCCAGTGTCTCTTAGTGGGCAGCAAAGCACCGCCCAGAAAGTTATTAAGTATAACAAACTTCAGGAAATCACACAGGGCCCTGATGAGAACCCAGCTGTTTTTCTAAATTGCCTAGCTGAAACCTTAACACAATATATCCACTTAGATCCCTCCACTGCTCCAGGTTCCACAGTCCTTGCTACCCATTTAATCACCCAGCCAGCCCCAGATATTTGGAAAAAACTCAAGAAGGCTGAAAATGACCCTCAAATCCCAATCTGTGACCTGGTAAATATGGCTTTTAAAGTTTTTCATTCAGGGAGGACAGGGCTGAAGCAGCCAAACAGGCCCACATACACCAGCAGGTGGCTCTCCAAACCTAGGCCATAGTGGCAGCCCTTCAGCCAGCACAACAGGGTAAGAAGGGTACTAAGCTCAATACCACCCCACCTAGAGCCTGTTTCAAGTATGGCCTGGATGGCCACTGGGCCAGGATGTGCCCACAGCCACAACAGCCAACCAAGCCATGTCCAGCCTGCATAAAACCAGGTCACTGGTGAAGCGACTGTCCAACTGTGGCTCGGTCACCTGCGGTACACAGTTGCAGCGAACTACCATCCACCTATGAGGCAGTCCTGCCCCTGGAACTTCTGGGTCTCAAGAATGAAGATTAATGATGCCTACCTTGGGAACGCCTATCACCCTCACCAAGCCTTGCATCATCATTGGAATAGCGGGTAAGTCTGTATCTTTTTTAATTGACTCGGGGGATACCTTCTCTGTCCTCCCCAACTTCTCAGATGCTACTCCTTTTTCCCAGGTCATGGAGATTGATGGCAAACCCACCTTCCCACGTTGAACTCCCCCTTTGTCCTGTATACTTGACACAACACCTTTCACTCACTGCTTCCTAGATATGCCTTCCTATCCTGTTCACCTGCTAGGTAGAGACATCTTACAATTGCTCGAGCAACCATCTCTATTCCCCAAGCCTCACCTCCTTCTTTAAATGTCTCCATCTTACGTTATGCTGAGGGAGGTATCTCAGTCACAAAGGGACAAATGCTATATGGTGCCACTGTTGTAGAATGAGGCTGGCATTGGGGTGGGGTAAGACTGAGAAAAACTGGATGAAATATGTTTATGGCATTGAAGTCTATGGGGGAGAGAATAGTC